GTTATGCGTATAACAGTGTTCACTGTTCAGATTGTAGAATGATCAAAATTAAAAAAAAACCTCAAAATGACTGTTTCTAAACAATTATAATTTGTTTTGTATTAATTACATCAATAAAATAAAACGACAAAAATATTGTCTTCTTTCAGGTTAATATAGTATTATAATATGATGACAAATTAATGTTTGTCGTTCGTTTTCACGTGACACCATTTTTCTAACATTATAATCACGTAAATTATAGATATTAGATACGCAACAAACAATGGTTCTGATATGCATTGGATGACCTAAGATTTTGTATGTAAATACTCGTATATATGTGTAATATTTTAATATACTTTATTTTATTAATAGATTAAATTATTCATAGAACAAAATGCAATTTCACGGAAGACAGTACCATTATGTCAATATTACATAATCGGGTGACGTTGTACAGGTAGGCTGTCATAAAGCATGCTGTCTACCGGTGAATTTATGATTAAAATATGAGGTCGATGGGCGATTTACAAATATAGTATGCGATATAGGCACAGGTCAAAAATAACTATAAAATGAATATAAAATTATTTTAACTAATAGTATCATTCCACAAAAAAAATAATAACTAAAAAAAAAAAGTTGTTTGACATCCCTTCGTTTGGGACTTACAACTCTCCTTTCTTAGCCCCTCTCCATAGGTGTGCACAAATGCATCCCACTTCCAAGCTTATTACAGGAACATTTTTGTTAATTAAAAATTTGGAGGTTGAATAGGTTGATTCATCACTACTTATGATTAAATAAAATCTTTTGCCGACAGATTGAGTGAGTGACTGCCAAAATAATAATAATATTATGTAAAATAAATTGTGGTGTCAAGCAGTAAGTGGCGTACTGAGAGTCTGAGACCTGAGCCCAAACTTTTACGAGATTTTGAAACATTGTTATCGAATTTCATGAAGTATAAGGACATAAAGAAAAGTGATTAAATGGTATTTATTAAAGTTAATCATAAGCCCGTATAAAAACCATCCGGCCTCAGATAGACCACATAGTATAATATATGAGAGCCGTAGGTACAGGTGTTGTCCAGTGAACGGAAAGCCCATTTAGTTGTCTCTTCACTTCATTTCTGCTTATTTTCTACTCTAATATTATGATCTACCAATGGTGACAAATAATTACGAGCCATATAATTTAACTGTATAAAACCTATTTTTATGGTCTATGGCTCTATGACAAATCTATTTTCTTTACCTTCTTTTTTTTAGCCAATGATAAGAGTGGGTTTACAGGACCACCATATGAACCTCTCCGTTTCCCCCATAGATCCACCACGGTTGACACTTGTAAGCACGGACTTGTAAGTTACTTTAAATTAGTATTTAAATATTATTATATTTATGATTTATTATTTTCATTTTTCTCAAGGTTCATTAAAATTGACTATAACAATTAACAAACCTCTTCAAAAAGCAAGTGTGGAAATCTCATAATAATAAAGTAACACAATTAGAATTTTAAGTTAGCTAATTTTAAAATAAAAATACTAATATACTAAAAGTATAATGGTGAATGTTCTTATTATTTTTACTAATGAATATTTATTATCGTTAATTAATCCCAATATGTTATGAGTTGAATAAATTAATATCTGGAAATATGCACACAACACTTTTTTCAACTAAAAATGTTTCATATTATGTCTTTAAAATTTTATTTTTAGTACATATTATTTTCTCAAAAAATTTAAATTGATGATTAGACAAAACGATCACCAATATTAGAAAAACAAAATAATATTCATAAATAATACTGTGATATTTATACTGTGTGTTTTGTCCAAAATTATTATAGGAACAAGTTTCTAAGGAATTTTGAAATAAAAAAAATAATCAGGTATGAACTCAATAAATGTAAAATGATCTTATTTCAACTTATACCGATTCATATATTATAATTTTAAGTTACAATAAATAATATTACCTAATAAACATAATAATAATTATAATTATAATAATAATAATATAATAATCATAATGATAATAATTAAATTAAAACCCACTGATGCGAGAAAATGACAAAGTCAATAATAAACACAACTCTAAACAACTATACAACAACAAGTCATCTATAATGGCAGAAATGGGCCTACTTATAATTTCGAGAAACAAAAAAAATTCAACATTATAATGATTAATACATTTGGTATAAATAATTAATTTTTAAATCTTCTGTGAAAATCTTATTTGATAAGTTTTGTGTTAATCAGATTACTAAGAACATAATAATAAAATCTGGATTATACGTTATTGGTAAAAAAAAAAAAAAAAAAAAATACAAACACAAATAAAAATTATGGACGGCAAATCTGCGAATGTGAATAGTCGTACAATATTTGTAGTTTTTAATAATAGATAACCTTATTAATTATAAATGGACAAAAATAATAATACCAAAATTAAGAGTTAACAACTACATTGATTATTTTCATAGGTAAGTAAATTATGTATAATTGGACGAATACAAATTTGAGATTATTTAAACTAATTGTTAGTACTATAGTAGCAAGTCATTCAACAAGAAAAACAATGAAGAATATCTTATCATCCATGTAATCTATTGCTCGTCCATAGCTATTAAATAATATTATGTGGTGGTAGTCTATGAAAAAAACCCTCCTAATATACAATTAATTATGTCCTTATATTTAATTACAGGAGTTATTTTCATATTATGCTGTTTACAAAACATATTAAGAAAAAAATGTAAAATTAAAGTGCAATACACTATATTATTTATAAATCATACAATTAAAACATAAACCATAAATATAATGTATAAAAAAAACGTATATAAAATTAATACAATGACCTACTGAAAGTAAGTACATAACATGTTACAGGATAGGGTTTGGTGAAAAACAAATGGCACAAGATAGAAGGGGAGGAGGAATACAATTTAATAATCTGTTATCTATCTAATTATTTTTACTTTTAATACATTAATTAAATAAAATGGGAGTACACACAACCGTACATTTACTAGAGTAGTTAGTTAATAATAATAATTAATACATAAAATATGCAAAATACTTTGGAGTATAAACATTGTTAATCCTATTGAGAAAAAAATGTTTCTGTTAATTTTGGAACACATACACAGCATAATATCTAATCTACAATACTAATACATTTTGTTTTTAAAAAAAAAGCACTGAATCTAAAAACTGCATTGTAGTTTGGGGTTATGATAATTGTGAACTTATACAAATTTTGTTCGCTCTTTACTTGTCGGAAAATATTTTTTTATGACTGTTCAGGAGTTGTTCTGAAAAATAAAACATTATATCAAATAAATTATAGGTTTTTTTTTCATTTTATCAGTAGGTATATTTCTGTGATAATATTGTAATTTAATATTTTAATGGATAAGAATATGTATTAATTAAAAGTGTACATGTATAATTAAAATGTACACGGTGGAATACATACATTGAGGGTAAAATACATAAAAGGATTTGTTGGCCTTTCTCATTAAAAAGTTAGTAAGAGTATACATTAGTTTATAATTTATGTTTAAAGCATTTACATGTTAAACTCATAACATTTATGAATAAAAAGTACATCCGAAAAAGGCATCTATGACACTAAATAGGTATGTAATGTTTATACTATTATCATTAGCAGGGGATTAAAATTTATTATTGACAAAAACCAAGTAACTTAATTTATTTGTTTAATTTTTTGTAAAAGTTGAATTTTAAAAATTCAATGTTGTGAAAATAATCTTCTAAGCCCAATTGTATCGTTATGCTCTGAAAGAACAATAACTCCAAATATTTTTGTATCATTTGGTTTTATTAGATTATTGGTAGTCTGTTACATACAAAAATATTACAATAAAATCCTCTAAATTTGAATCTAGACATTAAGTTGATTTGAGATATTTATTAAATACATTTTTTCTTTACAACTATCCTATACAACTGAATATATATTTATATCCTCATAAACTCTTTAAGTTTTCAATATTTCAATGTTAACTAATAAATTATATAATATCATATACAGCAATACCAGTGTATCCTTACACGGACAAATTCAGCCAGTTTTTCTAACCCTCTCTCATCTTTGCTTTCTCTTAGGTTTATACATATTTTTGCATATTTACTGATTCTGTAGTTTTAAGAGCATATCTTTCAATTTTACAATGGTATAGATATGTTTGTAATAGAATTAAAAAATTTGACAATAAAAACATAAGTACTTTATTATGTATAAATGTACATATATTTTGAGTTTCCACTAAGTATTATTGTATTGTGTTTTTCAAATTCCTAGTTGACAGTTTGACACACAATTTCCTGTTTTTATTAATACATATTTAGGTAGTACAAATCATAAAAAATAAAAATATTAAGTAGTAATGTATTTGTAATTATGAAAATTGTGAGTGAAAAAAAATAAGTGCATATTTTTTAGTGTTGGACAAGTATTGTTTTTTAATTTTGAGTTGAATTGAGTTCAAAATTTGAGTACTTTAACAAATTCCAAGGGTTGGGTACTTTGAATTGCAAGAGTATTTTAAATTGTACTGGAATTTGGGTTATTTCAGTTATTTATAGTTTTAACATTTTTTTTTTTTCAATAAAACACTATTTATAGTATTTTGTTTTAATTTTAAAAATAGTGAACGAATACTCGATTCAAGTACAAGAAAATTGTTAGTTGAGTCAAGTCTAGTACTCGACCAACATCAATATTTTTTAAAGCATAGATGATTTATAGGCACGGTTAGAATATAGGTACAAATTTTTATAAAGATTTTTATGCTGGCACATAAAAAAAAAAAATATATTTTAATCCAATATAATTTTATTTCTAATATTACTTTTTCATTCCTTAAGAGTTAAGAGTCTCCATTTTGCTTACATTTTTAGGGTAAGTTAGATTATGTTAGAACATGGAAAATAAATGTATGTAAGATAAATAATATTATAGATTTAAATTTACCAGAGTGATTGATGATAGAATTGTTTTTTAAAATTCTAAAGACTGATCTGCACTGCCTTCTACTTCTGAATCTCCGTCCTCATCATCCATATCCGTATCACTGTCTAATATACCATTGTCCACTGATTTATCTTTTTGATTATCTTCTTTTCCATACCATAAGGCTGCTGTAAGGTGAATTTAATTCATGCTCAGAATATTTACTGTGTTATATTGTTTGGATAGGTCATAGGATATAATAGTACACTTACAGCAATTTGGTTTTCCTCGAACACGCGAGTTGGGCACTTCTACGCCATGTTTGTCTACACACCAGCACATACCTACTGAAGAATGACATTGAGTGTGCTCATAGTATCCTTCAGCATCACAAGCTGGGACATAAACACCTAAAAATATACATTCACAAATATATATATATAAATACAACAAATGTTTGGTTTTTAATCAATTGTTTTTTCAAACATAAATGTACAGTGAAAATATCATTAATTGATAATATATTTATATAATTAGAAATATAACCAGTTAAATTAATTAGTGTTAGTACTAAAAATTCAGTGTTGAGTATAAAACTTAATGAAATTTAAAATTGTTAATACCTAGAGCATTTGGTGATATCCTTCTTTTGATAGCTGTGCATGGGCGATCGGTTTTGTCAAAACATCGACACCATTCATAAGGGCTTACAAAAATATCACTAAAAGTTAAAAATACATGGAATTAAATTCATTTTTCAGAATATATATTTTATATAAAATTCATACCCATCAGTATCACAAGTATCTAAGAAAGGTTTAATGCACATTTCATTTTTATCATGTTCTAAGTCATAAAGTTCTTGCAATGACAATTTTCCATCTGAATCCAAATCCAGGTGTTGGTACATCCAACGAACTTCCCACTTGCATCCATTGATGAATTTTACAGCTACAAAACATTTCAAAATAAAATACTTACTTAATAAATTTATAAATAAATTTAACTACCTTTTCCCTTATTCTTTGTACGTCTGCGTTTAGCATCAGCCATGATCACTGAAAACCAATCCAATAGTCGGTCACCCATAGATTGCAATGCAGAAGGAGGGCAGTCTTTGTTCCAAGAAGGATGAGATACTTGGTTGGTTGCAATAACTTCATTATCCATTTTTTCATGGCGTTTATCTTTGACTGATTCGAAAACAGAGTTCTACAAGTAAAATCAAAAAATATAATATTAACAAACATTTTTGGACAAAAATTATTGATTTACAAACCTTGGTTATTTGATTGTTGTTTTTTATATATTTGATGTATTTATAATGTTTATTTTCATACTTGAAATCTTCTGGTGCAAAAATGTACTTTTCTTCATATTTGGATACCGGAGCAACAGTACTCTGTTTCAATTTCTCACTTTCTAGAGTAGCTTTATACTTGTTCATAAAGTTTGTCATGCGTTCGGCTTGTTTTTGTTTTTTACGTTCAACATCTTCTTGTTCTATTAAGATAAAATTTCAAATAATAATAATAATAATAAAAGTATAATGAATTTATAAATTTATATTGTTAAATGCATACCTTTGCAAGGACAAAATCCTTTACAGTTTACTTTTATGTTTGTGGTATGAAGACAGTTATGATAATCTAGACGACACAATGAACTATATGTACGATTATCAGAACCGCATAGGAATGTAGGCTTCATTACAGGACACGGGTTACATCTACTAGAAGTTTAAATTTAATTAATAATGATCAAAAAATAATAATGCTTATTAAAATTTATGATTTTTTGAAAAACCCAGTTGGATAGAATAAGAACTCTAAAATAGCAATTGATAAAAATATATTGATGTATTACTAGATGGGTAGTAAATAGGTATTATTATTATAGTCTTAACTAACATAAAAATTAAAACATTAACTAATTGAGTCAATTATGTTGGTGCATGTTTCAGAAATATTTACATAAGTTTCTCTTCTAAATAAAAAAAAAATTATTCTACGTCTTTAAATAATCGTTCTATACTATAAAATAACTTATACCAGTAAATATTTAAATATTTAACGTTATATAACATTTTTTTTCATATATTCTAATGTTGTGTGAAATCTTCAGGTTTTTTAGGGTCTATACAACGGTTAGGGTGGCTTAGCCCTACAACGAACCACCGCTATTTGCGCCTATGCAAATACTTAAAAATCTTAAGTATTTGTACTAAATTTGCTCTATTTTGAAAATACAAAAAAATTTAATATTGAAATTAATGCAAAATGTTAAAAATCAGATCATCCATTTCTTAAGCATTCAATCGCTGAAAATTTGAAGACGACATCATCCCTCAATGTCTCAAATGTATACATTTTTTTTCTATTAAAAATTTAAGACATAACAATCTTTCTATAACGTGGTACAATAGAAATTATGATGATTATGACTGTAAAAATCATGAGTGGCAAGAAGAGAAAGTATGTGTGTAAGTAATGTGTAAGTGTTACCCATTGGTAATACTTATTTTAACTATTTAGTAAATAGTTAAATAAATCACGATTCCAGATACGTTAAGGCTGGCGAGGAGGATTGTCAGGAATATAAAATTAAGTGGAGGCCATATTATTTTTATTGAAGGGTTGGTTTTGGAGATTAATTTGGAATTAAAACGCATGTAACGAAGTTTGGCAAAGTCTTTATTATGACCGTCGTAATTTATAGAACTTTGTATTTATGTTAGTTAAAGATCACCAGTAATAACACCAATCGATTTATTTTTTGGAAATCTTTGAATGGGTTTATGTTGGGTGGTTAAGCGGGGTCCCAAATTTTTAAATCTAACGAAACTAGTCTGATACCCACAGAAGTAATTCTGTATAATATTACAAAAATATCTCCTCTATATCTACGTGCATACATTTTAGTCATCCGTAATTCGGAAATAAATAATATTTTTACCCTCATAATATGAACCCTTATTTTTTCACTATATTTTCATTATTCGCTGCAGCATGTTATTAAAACATAACTCCAATATTGTCAACTATCAAGTAATAATAAGTAAAATAAGTATCTAATTGTTTTGCACTAATATTACTATATTAGGTATACCTATGTGCATTTTTCTTTTGTCAGAAAAAAATCCAATACTGCATTTTTGAGCTTTTCACTATTATGATCCTTTGTTAAAACGATAACAATTTTTACCTAGCATTTATTTTACTGAAAGAATATTCAGAACATGTTTTTTTTTCCTAACAACTGGGTCTCTATTCAACATTTTTAGTGAAACAACCAACAAAGGCCTTTAAAACGACGTGTATAAGGCGGGGATAAAACTTTCTTTCCAGGAATAAGAACATTATATTTTCCAAAAGTACTCAAACTCAACAATATAATACATCTATATTTTACTTATAATTCCAACACGATTAAGTTATAAATGAATTTCTCGGTCCATAATAAAATATACGTCTACACCTTGGTACCTAGTAATAATTTTCAATTCACTCCCAATATACAGAGTAACCATAAAGAATCAAGGTTAAAATCATCAAAAACTGAATAAACTATACGTCTATACCCATTGTGAATGTAGTTTATTAATAACCTTTTGAACATCAACATAGGTATACTGATTATTGTTACACATCAATATTGGCTTATATACATATTATGAAAATACTAAAATAGATAACAATAATGTGAATCGAATAATCAAATCAATTTAAAGAGTAGAGAATTAGAGAGAATATCACTCGATGTTAATACTTTTAGATTTACTTGTAAAATATCACCAATGATAATTATTAATCGCCTACAATTAGATACAAAATATATTAATAGGTTAAGTTAGGTATTAATAATAGATTCAATTAATAACGGCATTTTTTAGGTATACCTATACTGGCTAATATAATAACAAAATGTCAGAAAAAATGTATTTTTTTTTTTAATGGACATATAACCTTATACTTATGTCGAATTTAAATAATCATTTTGTAAATCAAATATTTTATTATGATAGAAACTCCCAATTTCTGTCATCATAACTTTTATATGAGAAAGCTGTGAAATTATTCAATGTGGGATGTGTCCAATGTAAAATGATCAGCCCACTAGAGATAATTACAATGTATTTTGTAATGTAGATGCAGTAGGTATAGTAGTTTAGTAGGTATATACAAGTTACTATATATGGTTATTCGTTAAACTATGCGTAATAAATTTGACTATTTTTGCATGCATACAAATATGCGTAGTATAGAGTACAGTGACGATTAAATTAAGAAATACTTTGCTTGAACCTCTAAAGAAATTTGAATTAAACTTATTTTTCGGTTAGTCTTAATGTCTTATACTACTCACATATTATTATAAAACCACCTGGACACAAAAAATGTTTTTAAATTGTATCTATTGTCATATTAACAAAGTTGGAATTACATAAAATCATCAGAACTTAGAAGATTATGCCAATAATTTTATATTACATTGGCAATAGGTTAAGTATATCAAACATGTTGATCAATATTATTTTTATTTTTGTATATTTTTTACACTAAAATTACTTTCAAATACTATAACAAAGTCAACAATAAAATGTATAACTTCTAAGTTATAACCAACTAAATCATAAGGTTGAAGTTCGTTATAACTTAGGTACCTATAAGTCATAGAGATACAGCGATTTTGACTGAATAATTAATAAAAAAATAATCAACTGAAGAAATATTTTGGATAACTATATTTAAAAGAGACACTATTAAACACATTTACATGTTGCATTTTTTTTTCTAATAACAGAAGACAACTTTTTTTTATTACAGTTGATCATTTCAGTGGCGTATTAGCCATTTTCTTAAAAAGGGTGTTGCAGAAAAAAAGTCAGCACATCAGATGAACAGTCTGTGATGTACAGTTGCAGTCTCCCCCGGGTTCTTTTATTCGTTATTCTACATTTATGTAAAGTGAACTTATATAGATTATATTTTTTAATTCTTTATTTAATTTTTTTTATATTACAAAATAATATCCAAATAATATCTTTAGAGTTTCCGGGCCATTTGATCCAACAGTTTTTTTTTATATCCACATGGATATTGCGATGGATGCTTAGTATTGCCAAACCATTTAGTCTATTCAGAGTTGAAAAAAAATAAAACTAAACTAACTTAGTGATAACAATATAAATTATAGTTGGACGAGCTTCTTAATAAGTAGAATATACATGTCGTATAAGAATAATAAAGTGAACACTAAACAATGAAAACATACAGACATTTAAAATAAATAAAAAAATGCTCCGGGGGACGATATATGGCTCTCCCATGGTAAATACGTCCCTGGACCATTTGATCCACATTTTGAGCTACGGCTTGATATTCTAATTTCATTAGTATTTATTTTTGGAATCCAAAAATAATATCATTAATCAATTTTAAACATAACTATACATAAGTACCAAATCTAACCTAAATATTTTATTATTATTAAACCATTATAATGGTAATATAATTATTTATATTTACCATATTATAATAGGTACATGTTGTTTACATTATGTTACATTTAGTATTAATGTGATTAAAAATTATTGTTTATACATTATTTAAACTGTTTTTCAGTATTAACATAATATGGTTTAGGTATCTTACTTTAATATTTATATCGTTTTGGCGATATATTTTAATATAAGTTAAGGTAAAAAATGCGGTAGTTACAAATTGCGCCGAAGTATAGGTAAAAAGAAATTACATATTATATAAACTACATTTGCTTTTTATCTAAGGTAAATTGTGCTCCGATTATTGTCACCATGTATGATTAAATTTAAACGAAGTCTATTTGAATTTATTTAATTTTTCTTTGAACATAAGAATATTTAGATGGGTCGAATGACTTGAATAAACTAACATTGAAACGGTAAATCAATTGAATCACAATAAATTCTAACAGATCAACGCAGTGCTGTATAATATACGATAAGATTAGATTATCTTAACTTTCTATTAGATAACGTACATTATAGATATTTTTACAAAATCCACGGTTTTGATTAAAATTAAAATTTTTCTATTTTTCTGTAATTTCAAGTTCTTGTTTGGGGTACAGTTAATAACTATTACATTACATTTTTTACTAATGATAATTAACGGGACGTAGTTTAGTTTTGTAATACCTGTTTGGCCCAGCTAGTGATTCGGGCGCATTTTACAGAAAACAATTTGGACTGTTTATATATGGCCAAAAAATGTTCATACGAAAGAGGAATATTATTATAATTTAGTTGTATGAAAATAAGAATAACGTATTTCTGAGTACTTAGTATCCATATAATTAATGAATTCGGTACAAAAAAAAACTAATTTACTTGTTTGTTGATAATGAACTGCTAATGCCACTATCATAAAATATATCATCATCATCTTCCTCGTCTTCTTCTATATCATCGCCATCGTCTTCATCATCCTCGTCTTCAGCTAAAGCCTCTTCAAGAGCTTTCTTTCGGGCTGCTTCTTCAGCCATAAATTTCTCTCGGCTTATGATCACATCGCCATTCTTGTGAATCTCTTTTTTGCTGACACAAACTGCTGTATATGCATCTTCAAGTAGACAGAGTTCTTTTTTTTTGCAACGCAGAGGTGTGCAAAGGTCACCTAAATTAAAAATTTGAGTTTGATTAGTAAAATGTATAAACGGTCTGAAAAAAAAACGATTTAATATACTTCTTATACAAACTTAATAATAAAAGTTTTTACAGGTCCGTGAAACAAAAGCTGCATAAATTATTTTGTGAATCTATACTTGCGAAATCAGATTATTGGCAATTTTCTACCATTGTTATCAGAGAAAATAAAAAAATCGTGAATTTTTATGCATCTTGTACATATTAAAAAGCACTTTCCTTAAGACCATAACATTATATTACTTGATCTCAACGACAGTTTCTAAATTGAAATTTTTCTGGATTCGAGCCAATCTAATATAATCCCATAGCAGTATATGGAAGTAAATAAATTCAATAAGAACCATAAAATAGAGTAGAATGTCAATAGAATAAATATATATTATAATGTTAAGAAATACAGTGATGAATCATTTCGCCACTGATTAAATGAGTAGATAATACAATAAGATAAGAAATAACAAATTACAAACATTTTTAAAAAGTAATTTAGTAATAAGTAAATTACATATGTATCAAATTAAGGCATATCAATAAATGCAAATAACACCAATTGTTATATATAGCCGAGATCAGTATTACAAATCTAAAATACGATACCAGCTCTATCATACAAGTATGAGTCAACCCTAAAAAGTTGATACTTGGGTAATAGTAATCCACTATAACAATTGTTATTAAATGCTACATCATACCTATAAGTTGTATACGTAATAATAATAATAATAATACAATTGTTTAGAATAGTAACTAGTTTAGGTATTATTGTTATATAATACTTAAGGGAAAAATGCCATCAATTTAAAAATAAAGAAGACAATAACGTCGGTTTTTGAAATTGCAATCTTCTTTAAACCTATATTCAACAACAAAAGTAAAAGCAATATTCGAAAGTAAACGAACTTGTATACATTTCTGAGGAAATCATTAACTTTATAAAATAACAAGGGAATTTACATTTCAAAATTAAATTAAAGGAACCAATGTATATTTTAATACTTCCGTGGTCTGAAACACTTGTGTAGGCCCGTGTTTTCTTATAATACTATAACACGAACTTGGTCGATACCCCATAACTGAAGTATAAGCATTTTCAGTACCTACCTACGCTTAGCTTCTTAACCTGTCAAATATGGAAGACATATTAGAACCGCACCCATTTTTATATAAATAATAATGTTTCAAAAAAAGTATGAAGTATCTATAGGTACTGAGTACCGATAATGCGCCACACCCTATAAGACATACACACACAAATTCGACACCTGAGAAGACTTTTAAGTTATGAAGAACTACAAGGCTATAACGATTTCAATCTTATGAAATGGTCTACCAGTTTTAATTCCATCGTAGAGAAGGCATACATACCCCATTTCGTTTACAGTCGTAAAGATCTTTTATTATACTCTGGGGATTATATTTTTGGAACAAATGTAATACTTCTTCTGTCACAATACTATTAAAATGCAAATTAGAAAACGCTTGAATAACGCATATTGTATATACATATAACGTTATATGCAAGACTAAATCTTTTAAGAACACAAAGTAAATGAAACATCCAACTTCTAAGAAAAGACACTAATAAACTAATTATTGAGATTGACACTTACTATTTGGATCATGAATCCATCTCTTTTTTTCTCCAAACTTGCCGATATCATTTGCAGGTTTTGGATTTTCCTGTAAACAATTAATTATAATTCATTATTTGCTAATCCTATTTTTAGAATATTTGTAAAAGAAACTATTTTTAATAATAGTTGCGGTAAGTATCATAACAAAGGTCTTCACATTTAATTAAATGTTTAACCCGTCCACTTTTGTATTAAACTAGTTTTCTATATCGGTTAAAATAAACATTTTTCATTTTCATCATCGCTCATTTTTTATTTAGATGATCGTGAAATAAGCAATGTGTTTCTAAAAAATATGACTGAATATGAGTATATCAGTCGATGTGAAGTATATGGATAATGCTTGTTAATACTTAGGTAATCCTTGTATTTTATAAATTCACAGCCTTTCATTATTTTAAAATATTCAAAACTATAATTGTTAATTATAAAAACTAAAAATTATAGAAAAAATGAATATGATTAATTATCAAGTATCATAATTAACGTCAGATTTAACTTTGATATTTAACTTTTAAATGGATTAAAATGTTTATTCCATCAAATTTTACTTTAAACATATAACTTAATAGCGATTTTAAAATAATCATAAAACTTTGAACGATTAGTGATGATACATAGAAATATAATAATATAATTAAGTAACTAAAAACAATAAAGATGTAATGCAACAACAAAATTTTATAAAATTTGAAATAAGTAAATTTTTAAAACTGTGTGTACACTTTATAGTAGAAGTATAGACAAATTATTTGATTTTTAAATAACACTGGAGTAATGAACGAATATTTATTGGTATTTCGAATAAAATAAGCATGCCATTTCTTCCTAAAATGTTGTCCATGTAATTAGTTTTCTGGTATTTCAATATTTCAGTCTGATAAGGTTATATATATGCAAGTAATTATTGCTAATTATTAATAATCTAAAAACTTAAATGGGTAGGCTGTAGATGTATGAATTATTTTTTTTATAACATTTTATTAAGATTTAATTTTTGAATTGTATATCTATATTATTTGCCGATCATTCCTTAGAAATTATAATTTTCGGTATGTAAGTCAGCTTAGTTTTCTTATAACTTATAAGTAAACACAACAATATTTATTTTACTAGTTAATTCAAGCTACTGGTTAGTTAATAAAATATAAGTTCAATTAAAAGAATCTATCAATACAATCGTGTTTTAAGCAATAATTATTTTACCCTGTAAATGTGTATACTCTTATAAAGCGTGTGTTATACACAATACTATTTATTATTTACAAATGGCATTTTTATTTTTTTTATAATTTTTCACTCTATCATCATATGAATATTTTAAGTAAACTTTTAAACGTCAGTTTGTCAGCAATAAAATTTGAAAACGTATTGACAATAACAATATATTATATTATACACTATATTATATCTCACACAGCAACAGCAATATTCAAACTTCGTTTACAATTCTAATGCAATTTACACGGATGATACGGATTAACGACCCTTTTACATTTTATATATAATCGCCTAGTCTATATTAATTGTGCTTTAATATCATAATGTTCAAACGAAACTATTTTATACACCTATCTTCACTAAATTATAAATGTATAAATCGATTATATGTGAAGATTAAAAATGCAAATGAAAGCTCGTACAAAACCTCATCAAGGATAAACATCCACCAACGTTTCGAGGAGAAGACACGCATTGCTGTATAGCTTAAGGTTTAAACCTAAGAGTATAATAGTATATGTATGAGTAATCCAAAACTATATGACGTACCTATACATAATAATGCTATAATGCTATATAGTATACCTATTATAGTTACTACTTACTGCTACTAAACCTACCCACTCGTGTGTGCACACGATTACACGAATATAATTTAATTTGAATGTCGCTTATCCACACGTATTACACATTGCGCAAACGTACCTATATATACCTATATCATGTACAACGAGCGCGGTTAACGTTCATAATAACGTTACAATACGGCCGACGATTTTAAAATAAATGTATAAAGCCCGACCATAGGCATAGGTACCTCTCATACATATACATACTCTAAGACTGTGCGGTACGCAGAGCGCGAGCATTCTATCGCAGTCGAATAACTGAGTAACTGACGCCATAAATTCTAAATCACAAAATCCTATTTTCAATATCACTGTGATTTGTAGTATATATTATAATATTGTATATAGTCGCAAACAGCGTCGATCACGAGTGCTCGTTTGAGGGTGAAACAGGAAAGACTGCATTCACAGTATTTACACGCATTTATAATACGCGCACACACACACCCACACCCATATTATACATATATATATATACAAACAAATCGAGGAAAACGCGCATCAAAATATGTGACGTTTAATTTTGCGCATACATTATAATAACGTACACACACTGCCGCCACTGCAGTGGCCCGTGGGAAGCCAAACGATAGTTTTTAATATATTATTTTTCACGCATTTAACGCATTTTATTTTGTCGCAGCGTGCAGTAATAATAATAATAATAATATTTCATAAATGATTAAACCACCACCCACCGTCATCGCGTAGTCGAGAGAATTTTTTTTTCGCGTGCCACATTATAATAATAACGCTACACTCGACGGCGGCGGTTACCTATTATAATATATGGTACATTTATATTTTTAAGTACGACAGTGTATACCTATGTGTAAAATATCACACACACACGCACACGAGATAAAAATTACTGGAATTATAATTATATTATATACTGGCAGAAAGAGCATATCTTGTTATACTGACCGAGGGGGTAAATCGTGCAAAAGTAAAAGCTAAGGATGTTGATGATGAAAATACTGTGGACAGTGTGTGTGTATACGCGTGTGCGTGTGTGCTGAGAGCGCGTAAATGGGTAAAGCCGCATATAAAGAGTACAAGCTGCCGAGAGGACGATGGGGTTGAGGAAGATGTGGTGGGGTTGGATGGCTGAAGGGGTGGAGGGGCTGGTGGCGGTGTCCCGCGCCTCCCCCATGCCCAGGGACGAGTAGGAGGCAATCCATGTCAGCGGTGTATTGATTTTTATACTACCACTACTACTACTACCTACCACTATACTACTACCACCACCACCACCACCACCACCACCGCCGCCACCACCACCATTCCCACCACCACTACGGCTACGACGACGACGACTACGACGACGACGTCGCTGCCGCCGCCGCCGGCTGCTCTTCCGCGCGTTGCTCGTCGGCCGCCGCTGTTTCATATTGCGCCAACGCCACTTCGCTTACGTGTCCGTCCAATATTGGCCTCTAAAAACAGCGTTTCAACCCTCAACCCCGACGACCCCACGCTGCACCCGAACGGATTTTACGCACCCACACCTGGCGATTACCCCATTTACCATTATCGGTCGACATCCATTATTGATGAACCATCGTTCACGTATATAGTTAGGGATCGATGCACGACGGCCACGCGAGAAAAATATGATTTTTTTCCACCCTCACAACACAATGTTATTATAAATTATAATGTATACCGACGCAACTGTGCGTGCGGTATCGGTGGTCCGGGGGGGGGGGAGTTTTGTTCGCTAACGTCAATATAGCCCGAAATACCTATGTATATAATATATATTATATATATATATACGTATACTCGTCTCCTGCACGATCCTGTATAATATTATGTGCCTGAGCGTGTGTGTATATATATATAAACACCACACACAAGTGTTATACACTTCATATCGGAGACGCAAACGATTACACCCCGTCGAGAGTTATTGTATACTCGAAATGAATCGAATTTACATAATTAGATAAGCCGCGAGAAATCGCCGTCTCTCTAAAGATACACACCCACACACATATATTTTTATACAATGCGTTTGTAAATATAATGCACGACCGACCAAAATTCGAACGAACTGAAGTCTGAACTTGTATGCATAACTGCCATAATATAATACGCACACGAATATTACTCAAAAGCCATTTAGTAGACGGTATCTTGTAATAAAGCGCTTCGGATTGATGTCTTGAAAAATATGTTCTTTGTATGCTCGTACAGTCAAATAATGTTATTATCTTATAACTTATTACGGATTACCAACAATACCACATACGAACCAGCTATTTCCGTGTGCATAATATATTACGACAATTATTTAATAATCATACATATTAAGTTTTACACAATAATATATTCAACTTATTACTTTTAAATCCTCAAGGACTCGAAGCAACTTCAACCAGGAAACTATTGTTTATGATCCCTATAGTAATTTTAAAATAACCCGCACACAAAATGATGTATAGTACACAATTCTTTGAAAAATTCAAAACAAAATAAAGAAATTGATATTAATAAAATGAAGAATTATATTTCTTCACGGTTCACAGGTCACAATAAACTATTCAGAAACAGTATAAAATATCGTAAGATAAAATATGAGCCAATGCTAAAAAAAATCAATACAACAAATTTATAAACTTTAGGTAAAATATATGAATTTACATATTTTTCAATAATTGAGTTATTCAATAAAATGTTACTTATGTTGTACAAGCTAATTTATTCAATTTCAATGATGTTATACTATAATATACGAAGTAGGTATACTGATATTGAATAACATTAAATTACATGGGATTAATATTTTAATTGTGGTACTTGATATAGCTTAATATTAAACATTTATAATTTTTTTCTGTTAAGTACAATAGTTAATTATATATTTTTTTATATAGGTGTAGTACCTATATATAGTATAATCAATTCCAACAGCTGTAATGATACCCTTTCGAAATTAAAATCAAGAAGCGCATAATATACATTGATGCACTCGAAAACCAACTCTACCGAGACGGATAATAATGTAATTAAATTATATTTGATCAAACGCACTTTATATAATGACTGTGATATAGTTAATTGCATTTTTTTCCCTCGACTAGCCCCAACAATAGGCACGACCATCGTACAATAAAATGTATAAACGGCAAAAAATATTACAACTAACTAAGTTAGTTTGTATATAAATTGTCTACTTCATCATGAAATA